ACACCTGTAATCCCAACACTTTGGGAGGCCAAGGTGGGCAGATCACCTGAGGTCAGGAGTTCGAGACCAGCCTGGCCAATACGGTGAAACCCCATCTCTAAAAAAAAAAAAAAAAAAAAAAAAAACCACCGGGTGCTGTGGCTCATGCCTGTAATCCCAGCACTTTGGGAGGCCAAGGTGGGCGAATCACGAGGTCCGGAGTTCGAAACCAGTCTGGCCAATGTAGTGAAACCCCATCTCTACTGAAAATGCAAAAAATTAGCCAGATGTGGTGGTGTGCGCCTGTAATCCCAGCTACTGGGGAGGCTGAGGTGGTTGAATCACTTGAATCCAGGAGGTGGAGGTTGCAGTGAGCTGAGATTGTGCCACTGCTCTCCAGCCTCAGTGACAGAGCAAGACTCCATCCCAAAAAGAAAAAAAGAATATTTGCATCTATGTTCATGAGGGATATTATTCTGTAGCTGCTTTTCTTCTAACATCTTTGTCTGGTTTTGGTATCTCAATTAGATTTAATTAGCTTTCGTATTTCCTAAGTCATATTTCTAGAGTTAAATGGTTTTTGTTTTTCATAACGTGATTTTTTCACTGGTTTGTGCTTATCAGAGCAGGATGTCAGTCATCTAAAATTCAGGCTGCTATGGTAGGGAGAAGCAGAGATCCTTTTGAATAGTAGCAATAATGTCAAGTGTTACATACTCCATACTCCTCTGCCAAAATATATCATGCATGAGCCTGTTTAGTCTTTATGATATTATAATGGAGATAATAATCATCATTGAATAGAACAGGAAGCAGACCATGACAGGCTAAGTATCTTGCCCAGCCTACAAGATTTTGAATCTAATATAAGTGGCATACCAAAGATAAATACCAAGTCTCTAACATCATCTTTCCGTGATGTTATAATGACTAGTGTGGGCAGAGTCCATCTGACCTGTGACAGATAAGCTGAAGTGAGTCTTGCATTTGAAGGTTTTGTAAAATCCTGAGGCATGTGACTATTAAATGTGAAACTATCAAGTGTTCATTCTTCTATTTTATATGTGAAACTTGGGCATATACTTAATTATCCTATGCCACAGAAAGATTCCTATTGCGATTCACTTAGATGATCTTCTGTAGGGTAGCATTTAAGTCAATTAGAAAGATGAAAATTAAATGTATTCAATGTATATACACACAACTGCGTATGATTATAATTTTTTCTTTTTTTTTTTCTAGCAATGAAGCTTGGAGATACATGGGCGGCTTTGCAAAGAGTGTTTCCTTTTTTGATGTATTCTTTAAAGGATTCAAATGGGGATTTGCTGCATTTGTGGTAGCTGTAGGAGCTGAATATTACCTGAATTCCCTGAATAAAGATAAGAAGCATCACTGAAGATAATACCTGGAAGTATCATAGTGGTTTCTTAACTCTCCAAAATAAGATTTCTTCACTATAACCTACTCGTCTGGTTTGTCCCTTACAGAATATTAGTAAGATTTAATAAAGTAAAATAAAATATATATATGCCAATCTGTTTTTGTCATTCTTTAAAAAAAAAAGTCTCAAGCCATATCAGATTTGGTTTAGGATACATAGGGGGTTGGAGAACAGCAGTAGTGCGTTCTATGTAACAGGCAGGCATCATATATTTGAGCAAATGGACATGTTCTAAGAAGTTTGTTTTAATCTTTTTTTTTTTTTAACTAGTCCTGACCTAACTGGCACTAACAAGTTTTTAAATGGGAGTTGGCCTTGCTGCTTTTATCGTCCTCTTCAGATGGTTTAGAGGAAGCCAGATTCTACTGTAAATACTCACTGCCCTGTTCTGGTTGACACATCCATGTATCATGTTCATTTTTCTTAATTGTGGTAATTGTGGTATTTTCTACTTGCTTAGTCTTCATTCTTCCTATGTCATGAAAAACCTTACTTTCTTCTTCATCTTTTTTTTTTTTTTTTTTTTTTTTTGGGAGATAGGGTTTTGCTCTGTCACCCAGACTGGAGTGCAATGATCTTGGCTCACTGCAGCCTCAGCCTCCCTGGGCTCAAGGGATCCTTCCACCACACCAGGCTATCTTTTTGTACTTTTAGTAGAGCTGGGGTTTCGCCTTGTTACCCAAGCTGGTCTCAAACTCCTGGGCTCAAATGATCTACTTGCCTTGGCCTCCCAAAGTGCTGGGATTACATGACCCACTGCGCCTGACCTTTTTCTGTATTTCTAACAATAAACTAGATATTCTCCCAACATCATTGACTTTTTAAAATTTATATCCCTAATTAAAGATTTGGTTAGGTGCAGTGGCTCATGCCTGTAATCCCAACACTTTGGGAGGCCAAGGCAGGCAGATCACTTGATCTCAAGAATTGGAGACCAGCCTGGCCAACATGGTGAAACCCCAACTCTACTAAAAAAACAAAAATTTAGCCAGTCATGGTGGTGGGCACCTGTAATCCCAAGTACTTGGGAGGCTGAGGTGGGAGAATCACTTGATCCTAGTAGGCAGAGGTTCCAGTGAGCCAAGATCACGCTACTGCACTGCAGCCTGAGCGACAGAGCAAGACTGTCTCCGAAAAAACAAAAATAGATTTAACACTCGTTGAGGAGGGGTGATAATTTTGTTTAAATAATGAAACAGAAAATCCCAAGGTGAATTTTTTTCTTTTCTTTTTTTTTTGTTTGTTTGAGAATGAGTCTTCCAACCTAGAGGGGTGGGCAGTGGCACAATCTCAGCTCACTGCAACCTCTAACTTCTGGGTTCAAGTGATTCTGCCTCAGCCTCCCAGGTAGCTGAGATTTCAGGCGCCCACTACCACGCCCAGCAAATTTTTGCATTTTTAGAAGAGATGGGTTTTGTCATGTTGGCCAGGCTAGTCTTGAACTCCTGACCTCATGTGATCCACCTGCCTTGGCCTCCCAAAGTGCTGGGATTACAGGTGTAAGCCACTATGCCCAAGGTGACTTTTTCTTTGTAAATTTCTTGTTTTTAAATGTAAAGCAATGCTAAAGTGAGACAAATTTCTAATAAACTGATAGTGGTAAATAGAATATGGTAACATGAAATGTAAAAAAGACTCCATGCAAAAAAAGGAAAGCATTTATTTTTTAATTTAGATACAATTTAATACATACTTTCTTCTCTGTTTTTTGTTTGTTTGTTGAGATGGGGTCTCACTCTGTTGCCCAGGATAGAGTGCAGTAGCTCACTGTAACCTCCGCCTCCGAGGCTCAAGCAATCCTCCCACCTCAGCCTCTCAAGTAGCTGGGACTACAGGCAAGTGCCACCACAACCAGCTAATTTTTTGTATTTTTGGTAGAGACTGGATTTCGCCATATTGCCCAGGCTGTCTCAAACTCCTGAGCTCAAGTGATCCACCTGCCTCAGCCTCTCAAAGTGCTGGGATTACAGGTGTGAGCCACCATGCTCCTAATTTTTTTTTTTTTTTTTTTTTTTTTTTTTTGAGACAGAGTCTTACTCTGTCGCCCAGGCTGGAGTGCAGTGGCGAGATCTCACCTCACTGCAGCATCCACCTCCCAAGTTCAAGCAATTCTCCTGTTTCAGCCTCCCAAGTAGCTGTGATTACAGGCACTTGCCACCTGCCCAGCTAATTTTTATATTTTTAGTAGAGACGGGGTTTTACCATGTTGGTCAGACTGGTCTCAAACTCTGACCTCAGATGATCCACACACCTCACACCTCAGCCTCCCAAAGTGCTGGATTACAGGCGTGAGCCACCACACCCAGCCCACTCTAAAACATTTCTGTTAAGAGATGGCCGGGCATGGTAGCTCAGGCATGTAATCCCAGCACTTTGGGAGGCCCAGGTGGGTGGATCACTTGGGCTCAGGAGTTCAAAACCAGACCAGACAACATGGCAAAACCCCATCTCTACAAAAAATACAAAAATTATATGGGTGTGGTGGTGCACGCCTGTGGTCCCAGCTACTTGAGAGGCTGAGGTGGGAGGATGGCATGAGCCCAGGAGGCAGAGGTTGCTGTGATCCAAGATAATGCCACTGCACTACAGCCTGGGAGATAACCTAACCCTGTCTCATAAATGAATGCATGAATGACAGAGATGATCAACTTTGGCAAAAAACAAGACCCAACTCCAAACTGCCCATATGAAAACCCCAGTGAAAAGAATGTTGAAATATATTAATATCAAAGTGATTTTAGAATGAAGAACTACCTGTGAGAGAGACATTTCATAATAATGAAGGGGTCAGTTCATTAAGAGGATCTAAGGAATCTTAAGTGTTTATGCACAGGGCTTCAAAATACGTAAAGCAAAAACAAAGAAAACTTAGAGACAAAACACAATTATGATGTGTTTGGAGATTTCAACACTTCTTTCTCAGTAATTGATAGAAAATTAAAAATAGGCAAGTTATGGTGGCCCACATCTGTAATCCCAGCACTTTGGAAGGCTGAGGTGGGAGGATCGCTTGAACTCAGGAATTCAAGACGAGCCCAGGCAACAGGACAAGACTCTATCTCTAAAAAACAAAAAAGTTAAAAAAATTAGCCAGGCGTGGTGGTGTGCACCTGTAGTCCCAGCTACTCAGGAAGCTGAGGCAGGAGGATTGCTTGGGCCCAGGAGGTCAAGACTAGAGTGACCTGTGATCATGCCACTGCACTCCATCCAACCTGGGCAACAGAGTGAGGGCCTGTCTCAAAAAAAAATTAATAATTTTAAAAAATTTAAAAATTATGAATCACTTACTTTCTAACAAAACCCAGGGAATGTACAAGACTATCCCTTGGGGTAAAAGGAGAAAGTATTTAAACCTCTGTTTTTATTTTCATGTTTAATGAAAATGAATTGGTGGCCGGGCGCTGTGGCTCACACCTGTAATCCCAGCACTTTGGGAAGCTGAGACGGGCGGATCACGAGGTCAGGAGATCGAGACCATCCTGGCTAACACGGTGAAACCCCGTCTCTACTAAAAAATACAAAAAACTAGCCGGGCGAGCTGGCGGGCGCCTGTAGTCCCAGCTACTCTGGAGGCTGAGGCAGGAGAATGGCGTGAACCCGGGAGGCGGAGCTTGCAGTGAGCTGAGTTCCGGCCACTGCACTCCACCCTGGGCGACAGAGCGAGACTCCGTCTCAAAAAATAAAAATAAAAATAAAAAAACAAATTAGCTGGGCACGGTGGCTCGCGCCTATAGTCCCAGATACTCAGGAAGCTGAGCCAGGAGAATTGCTTGAACCCAGGAGGTGGAAGTTGCAGTGAGCCAAGATTGCACCACTGCACTCCAGCCTGGTGATAAAGCGAGACTCCGTCTAAAAAAAAAAAAAAAAGAATTAACTGTTGTTAATGTTTAATAGATTCACAGTGAAGTTTGCTCTCACATGGCGGATACCAAAGCAGTCACACAGAATTAGTGATAAGTCATCCTGAAGTGAAAGTAAGAGTTCTACCCTCCAAAGGAGAGAACAAAAGGAGTTTTCAGCAAATTGCTACAGACTGTACTTTATACATCCTCAGTTTTGGAATTTATTATCTGCTAATTATTGTTTTCTTGTTTTTCATTTTTTGTGGGGTTTTTTCGTTTTCTTTTTTCTTTTTTCTTTTTTTTGAGATGGAGTCTTGCTCTGTCACCCAGGCTGGAGGGCAGTGGTGCGATCTTGGCTCACTGCAACCTCTGCCTCCCGGGTTCAAGAGATTCTCCTGCCTCAGCCACCTGAATAGCTGGGATTACAAGCACAAGCCACCATGCCCAGCTAATTTTTTGTATTTTTAGTAGAGACGGGGTTTCACCATGTTGGCCAGGCTGGTCTCGAACTCCTGGCCTCAAATGATCCAACCACCTCAGCTTCCCAAAGTGCTGGGATTACAAGCGTGAGCCACCACGCCCCACTTTTTTGTGGGTTTTTTTGAGGCGGGATCTCACCGTGTTGCCCAGGCTGGGTGCAGTGGTGCAAGCACAGCTCACTGCAGCCTGGACCTCGTGGGATCAAGTGATCCTCTGCAGCCTCATAAGTAGCTGGGACTGCAGGCACATACCACCATGCCCGGCTAATTTTTTTTTATTTTTGTAGAGACAGGGAGCTCACCATGTTGCCCAAGCTGGTCTCAAATTCCTGGGCTCAAGGAATCCTCCCACCTTGACCTCCCAAGTACTGAGATTAGAGGTGTGAACCACTGCACCCAGCTTTGTCTACTAGTTTTAACTAAACCTTCATGAAGTAGATAAGTGGCTTAAAAAGATTTTTTACAAAGAAACTGCTGATTGAAGCTAATACTAATAACCCAAGAACAAGTAAACAAGGATAAAATAGAAGAGCTATGAACTCTGTCAGCAACATTACCAGTAAATAGGATGATCTCATCACCAGAAGAGTCAACCAAAAAAAAAAAAAAATTTAAAGATTAAATTATTAATGCCATATACTGTATTAGACTGAATTACTTTTGATATATATAAACAATTTAAAACTGCTTTAGAAGTCACAAAGAAAAGGACAAAATCCCCTTGTCTCAAGGTCTGTATATTTTTCTGTTTAATATCATATGCAACAAAATG